ATGTCGGCCTGGCTGCAGGTAAAGGTTCTTGCCAGCTCTCGTTGTGAAGCCCTCAATATCGGCCATACCGATCGCCCTGTCTCGTTGAGCTTCAATACGTCTTGGCATATTCCTGGTGTTTTTTTTGTGTGTTTCTTTCGTGGTGGGGTGGGGTGACACATTTTGGACACATTCGTAAGCGCATTTGGACCAAAGTCCCATAATTATGTTTTCCACTTTTGGAAAAACTTTTACGGACAGCTGCTTTGCGTTGTTATTGACAGTGTTGCATGCGAATGTTTTCTGATGGGTTCATTTAACGAAATTGTCCAAAACGATTCATCCAACACATATGCAAACACACATAATCAATCACCTGTTGACATCATTCGTTTCCACTCACTGGTTTATGACATTGTCAGCCCCACGAAGTTCTGTAGGGACATGCGTGAGTGAGTGAATGAATTTAGTTTAACGCCTATTTTAGCAACATTTCAGCATCATCACGGCGGTACACTGGGACATTCGTGAGTGAGTGAATAAATTTAGGTTTACGCCTATTTTAGCAACATTTCAGCATCATCACGGCGGGGACACTGGGTCATTCGTGCTCCCCTGGCATTTATAACACTTCCTCACATTGATCACAAGAAAACATTGACCACACATATCTCTTTGTATCAAACCATTAACTTGATGAGCTCACATTGATCACAAGAAAACATTGAGCACACATATCTCCTTGTATCAAACCATTAACTTGATGAGCTGACATTGATCACACGAAAACATTGAGCACACACATCTCTTTGTATCAAACCATTAACTTGATGAGCTGACATTGATCACACGAAAACATTGAGCACACACATCTCTTTGTATCAAACCATTAACTTGATGAGCTGACATTGATCACAAGAAAACATTGAGCACACATCTCTCTTTGTATCAAACCATTAACTTGATGAGCTGACATTGATCACACGAAAACATTGAGCACACACATCTCTTTGTATCAAACCATTAACTTGATGCGCTCACATTGATCACAAGAAAACATTGAGCACACACATCTCCTTGTATCAAACCATTAACTTGATGAGCTGACATTGATCACACGAAAACATTGAGCACACACATCTCTTTGTATCAAACCATTAACTTGATGAGCTGACATTGATCACACGAAAACATTGAGCACACACATCTCTTTGTATCAAACCATTAACTTGATGAGCTGACATTGATCACACGAAAACATTGGGCACACATCTCTCTTTGTATCAAACCATTAACTTGATGAGCTCACATTGATCACAAGAAAACATTGAGCACACACATCTCTTTCTATCAAACCATTAACTTGATGAGCTGACATTGATCACAAGAAAACATTGAGCACACACATCTCTTTGTATCAAACCATTAACTTGATGAGCTGACATTGATCACAAGAAAACATTGAGCACACACATCTCTTTGTATCAAACCATTAACTTGATGAGCTGACATTGATCACAAGAAAACATTGAGCACACATATCTCTTTGTATCAAACCACTAACTTGATGAGCTGACATTGATCACAAGAAAACATTGAGCACTCACATTTCTTTGTGTCAAACCATTAACTTGATGAGCTGACATTGATCACAAGAAAACATTGAGCACACACATCTCTTTGTATCAAACCATTAACTTGATGAGCTGACATTTGTTTTCAATATTCATTAACGTGTCTGTTCCTTCTTTGTAGTATGTGGTTTGTAGTATGTGTTTAGTGATCCTCAATACCGTGGGTGTGCTGATGTATAGAAGGGTTAGGTCACTATTTATTGAACCTAAATATTTGGACGAAAGCTTGAGTTAGAGAGGGAAATCAGTGAATCAGTCTACATTTAGTCTGCTATTAAACGTAAAAGAAATACATGTTATACAAACAGAATAGAACACACAGAAATTCATGATGAAGTTTAAAGAATTCTGACCATTCACTTAATGATTAAAGGAACAAAATCATAGCATATGGACATCAGCACGAATGCCTTCTGTCAATATTAAACAGTCGTTGGTCCTCTCAGAAACAATATCTCTCACAGGTGCTGATGTCAGTGGTAGGTGTGGTACCCATTTCCCTTGTGATGTAGATGTCAGTGGTAGGTGTGGTACCAATTTTCCTTGTGATGTAGATGTCAGTGGTAGGTGTGGTACCCATTTCCCTTGTGATGTAGATGTCAGTGGTCGGTGTGGTAACCATCTCCCTTGTTATGTAGATGTCAGTGGTACGTGTGGTATCCATATCAATTGTACATGTCAGTGGTCGGGGTGGTATCCATCTCCCTTGTGATGTAGATGTCAGTGGTCGGTGTGGTATCCATATCCCTTCTGATGTAGATGTCAGTGGTCGGAGTGGTAACCATCTCCCTTCTGATGTAGATGTCAGTGGTCGGGGTGGTATCCATCTCCCTTGTGATGTAGATGTCAGTGGTCGGTGTGGTATCCATCTCTCTTGTAGACGTCAGTGGTCGGTGTGGTATCCATCTCCCCTGTAGATGTCAGTGGTCGGTGTGGTTCCATCTCCCCTGTAGATGTCAGTTGTCGGTGTGGGTGCCACATCTCCCCTGTAGATGTCAGTGGTAGGTGTGGTAGCCATGTCCCTTGTGATGTAGATGTCAGTTGTCAGTGTGGCATCCATCTCCCTTGTGATGTAGATGTCAGTGGTCGGTGTGGTATCCATCTCCCCTGTAATGTAGATGTCAGTGGTCCCTTGTAGTGGTCGTTGTGGTATCCATCTCCCTTGTAGATGTCAGTGGTAGGTGTGGTATCCATCTCCCTTGTGATATAGATGTCAGTGGTCGGTGTGCTATCCATCTCCCTTGTAGATGTCAGCGGTCGGTGTGGTAGCCATCTCCCTTGTGATGTACATGTCAGTTGTCGGTGTGCTATCCATCTCCCTTGTAGATGTCAGTGGTAGGTGTTGTATCCATCTCCATTATAGATGTCAGTGGTAGGTGTGGTATCCATCTTCCTTGTGAGGTAGATGTCAGTGGTCGTTGTGGTATCCATCTCCCTTGTGATGTAGATGTCCGTGGTAGGTGTGGTATCCATCTCCCTTGTAGATGTCAGTGGTAGGTGTGGTAGCCATCTCCCTTGTGATGTAGATGTCAGTTGTCGGTGTGCTATCCATCTCACTTGTAGATGTCCGTGGTAGGTATGGTACCCATCTCCGTTGTGAAGTAGATGTCAGTGGTAGTTGTGGCATCCATCTCCCTTGTGATATAGATGTCCGTGGTCGTTGTGGTATCCATCTCCCTTGTGATATAGATGTCAGTGGTCGGTGTGGTATCAATCTCTATTGTGATGTAGATGTCAGTGGTAGGTGTGATACCCATCTCCCTTGTGATATAGATGTCAGTGGTAGGTGTGGTATCAATCTCTATTGTGATGTAGATGTCAGTGATCGGTGTGGTATCCATCTCCCTTGTAGATGTCAGTGGTCGGTGTGGTATCCATCTCTATTGTGATGTAGATGTCAGTGGTAGGTGTGGTACCCAACTCCCTTGTGATATAGATGTCAGTGGTTGGTGTGGTATCCATCTCCCTTGTGATACAGATGTCAGTGGTTGGTGTGGTATCCATCTCCCTTGTAGATGTCAGTGGTCGGTGTGGTATCCATCTCCCTTGTAGATGTCAGTTGTCGGTGTGCTATCCATCTCCCTTGTACATGTCAGTGGTAGGTGTGGTAGCCATCTCCCTTGTGATGTAGATGTCAGTTGTCGGTGTGCTATCCATCTCACTTGTAGATGTCCGTGGTAGGTGTGGTAACCATCTCACTTGTGATGTAGATGTCAGTGGTCGTTGTGGTATCCATCTCCCTTGTAGATGTCAGTGGTAGGTGTGGTATCCATCTCCCTTGTGATATAGATGTCAGTGGTCGTTGTGGTATCCATCTCCCTTGTAGATGTCAGTGGTAGGTGTGGTAGCCATCTCCCTTGTGATGTAGATGTCAGTGGTCGGTGTGGTATCCATCTCCCTTGTGATGTAGATGTCAGTGGTAGGTGTGGTATCAATCTCCCTTGTAGATGTCAGTGGTCGGGGTGGTATCCATTTGCCTTGTAGATGTCAGTGGTAGGTGTGGTATCCATCTCCTTTGTAGATGTCAGTGGTCGGTGTGGTACCCATCTCCCTTGTGATATAGATGTCAGTGGTCGGTGTGGTATCCATCTCCTTTGTGATATAGATGTCAGTGGTCGGTGTGGTATCCATCTCCCTTGTAGATGTCAGTGGTCGGTGTGGTATCCATCTCCCCTGTAATGTAGATGTCAGTGGTCGTTGTGGTATCCATCTCCCTTGTAGATGTCAGTGGTAGATGTGGTATCCACCTCCCTTGTGATGTAGATGTCAGTGGTAGGTGTGGTATCCATCTCCCTTGTAGATGTCAGTGGTAGATGTAGTATCCACCTCCCTTGTGATGTAGATGTCAGTGGTCGGTGTGGTATCCATCTCCCTTGTGATGTAGATGTGAGTGGTCGGTGTGCTATCCATCTCCCTTGTAGATGTCAGTGGTCGGTGTGGTATCCATCTGCCTTGTGATGTAGATGTCAGTGGTAGGTGTGGTATCCATCTCCCTTGTGATATAGATGTCAGTGGTCGTTGTGGTATCCATCTCCCTTGTGATATAGATGTCAGTGGTAGGTGTGGTATCCATCTCCCTTGTAGATGTCAGTGGTAGGTGTGGTATCCATCTCCCTTGTAGATGTCAGTGGTAGGTGTGGTATCCATCTCCCTTGTGATATAGATGTCAGTGGTCGGTGTGGTATCCATCTCCCTTGTGATATAGATGTCAGTGGTCGGTGTGGTATCCATCTCCCTTGTGATATAGATGTCAGTGGTCGGTGTGGTATCCATCTCCCTTGCGATGTAGATGTCAGTGGTCGGTGTGCTATCCATCTCCCTTGTGATATAGATGTCAGTGGTCGGTGTGGTATCCATCTCCCTTGTAGATGTCAGTGGTAGGTGTGGTATCCGTCTCCCTTGTAGATGTCAGTGGTAGGTGTGGTATCCATCTCCCTTGTGATATAGATGTCAGTGGTCGGTGTGGTATCCATCTCACTTGTGATATAGATGTCAGTGGTCGGTGTGGTATCCATCTCCCTTGTGATATAGATGTCAGTGGTCGGTGTGGTATCCACCTCCCTTGTGATGTAGATGTCAGTGGTAGGTGTGGCATCCATCTCCCTTGTGATATAGATGTCAGTGGTAGGTGTGGCATCCATCTCCCTTGCGATGTAGATGTCAGTGGTAGGTGTGGCATCCATCTCCCTTGCGATGTAGATGTCAGTGGTCGGTGTGGTATCCACCTCCCTTGTGATGTAGATGTCAGTGGTAGGTGTGGTATCCATCTCCCTTGTAGATGTCAGTGGTAGGTGTGGTATCCATCTGCCTTGTGATGTAGATGTCAGTGGTAGATGTAGTATCCACCTCCCTTGTGATGTAGATATCAGTGGTCGGTGTGGTATCCATCTCCCTTGCGATGTAGATGTCAGTGGTCGGTGTGGTATCCACCTCCCTTGTGATGTAGATGTCAGTGGTCGGTGTGGTATCCATCTCCCTTGTGATGTAGATGTCAGTGGTAGGTGTGGCATCCATCTTCCTTGTGATGTAGATGTGAGTGGTAGGTGTGGTATCCATCTGCCTTGTGATGTAGATGTCAGTGGTAGGTGTGGTATCCATCTCCCTTGTGATGTAGATGTCAGTGGTAGGTGTGGCATCCATCTTCCTTGTGATATAGATGTCAGTGGTAGGTGTGGTATCCATCTCCCATTATCTTAAAAACACAGACACCTTAAAAAACACATACAACTTTAGATGGTATAGTGATTATCACTCCTTTTCTCATCGTGGTGAAAAAGCAACTGGGGGCGCTTCTATTTTGGTACATCAGAGCGTCAAACGCTGCCCAGTCACTCTAAACACAGATCTTCAAACCGTTGCTATTCGACTCTGTACATTGCGCTGACATTGTGCAACTTGTATATCCCTCCATCTTCTACTATTCAACAATCAGATCTCCAAAATCTGTATGATCAACTGCCGGAGCCATGTCTCATCATGGAAACGGACACAACCCGCTTTCACAAAGGTGAAATCCTTGAGGAATTCATTACAGACAATAACCTATGTATATTTAACAATGATTCACCAACCTATTTACATCCAGCTACAGGAACATATACTTCCCTTGATATGTCAATCACCGATTCTTCCTTATGGTCCATGAGGACCTATGTGGGAGTGATCAGTTGTCATTTTTGCGAACGGCGAAGATCCAAAACAGCTATTTTCAGAAACTGAACAACATTTTTGACCAATCTATACCAAAATCCTCTCCAACTCCACACATTCGTAAACCATTGTTTAATAAACAGGCCAGAAAGAGTAGGAAGAACCCCGAAAAATATTTCGACGACATCCTACTGTACATAATTTGAATAAAGTTACAATTTTAAATGCCAAGGCTCGACGCGCATTTAAGCAGAATAAGCGTCAGTCTTGGAGAAACCATGTTTCTAAGATAAATTCCCATACACTGATTTCAAAAGTGTGGAATAAGATACAGAGAATTAAGGGCAAAGGTTCCAAATCAACTGTTCACAATCTGAAGAATGGTGAAGAATCATTTATTAACTGATAAGGCTGATATTGCCAATAAGCTTGGTGAAACTCTCGGCAAACATTTTTCTTCTGCGTTCCTGCATGTCATCAGTACCAGAAACAGGAGAAGAAACGTATAGATTTTAACTCGATTAATAGAGAAGAAACGTATAGATTTTAACTCGGATAATGGAAAAGAAACGTATAGATTTTAAGTCGAATAATGGAGAAGAAACGTATGCGTCGAGGCTGATAAGCCATCTCTTAAAAAACGCCGTATAAAATAAACTGTAAAGTATATAACAAAACTATACTGAAAGGCAAAAGAAATGTCGTAATATTGGAAATGACATTTAAGTATCAATGAAACATTTGAACCTATTTTTTTTTTAAAATACGCCACTGAAATGCAGTACCGACTTTCATCAGAGAAGATAAACCCTCTCTCTTGTCCCCCACGACAGTTTTGCCGCTCTTGTGTCCACTTGGATACGTTCCCGGCGGTGACGTTGGGTGAATATGGGTCTCCTGGCAAGACATCGACAAAACAGGTTCCTGGCTTGGAGACGTCGCCGAATGGTAGGTCACTGACTGGTCGCTGGTGGTTTCCTATGGTCACCCAAGCTGTTTCTCTGGCCCTTACGAATAGGTCTTGCACGTGTTGATGGACGATATGACGGTCCTGGCGACGTGTTGTTACAGGGGGTTGACCACTACGTGGACGGTCATCAGTGCTGCTGGTGGCGTTGTATCGTTCGTACGCTGCAACTGAAGTCATTAGCAATGACTGGAGCATGTTGACCAGCGTGCAGACGGCCAATGGCTTGTTGTGGTTGATCTCTCGTTAACCTAGTCATAGCTGCTGTGTTCAGAAAACAAGTGAACGATTACCATTCAAGCCGGCAATTTATGCCTGAATGCATTTATGATGCACGTGTATCTCGATTTCAATGTTGTGTTTGTGGGAACTTTTCCCTCTCCGAAAAACAAAAACATTTCTAACTTCAATCTCAAACAATACGTTATTGAGCAATGCAGGCTATACGACCACGATTCATGTTTCCTCAAACTTGACTTCTGGTGTATATTTAAAAAATAGGTTCAAATACTCCATTGATACTCTAATGTCATTTCTAATATTACGACGTTTCTTTTGCCTTTCAGTATATATTCCAACGAGTCAAACCATGCTTTTAACTGTGTCTTTAATCCCCTATATGAGGATCTGTATAACAAGAAGTCTTCTCTTGTTCCATCTCTTTGTATAAGAGTGAAGCCTTTCCTTTCTGCTGCTGGCATTGAGCTAGAAGATATAGGTCCTTCCCGTCTGCTTTGTTCGCTCCTTGGAAATTACTGAGGCCACAAGTTGACCGAACACTAACAACATTTAAAAAATCAGAAACTAATGAATTACAGTATAAACACGAATTTAGTCAATTAAATAGTAAATATAATACACACGAATCCTTATTTATAGATGGATCGAAGGATAGTGGCGCAGTTGCTTGTGCCACCGTCATTCGATCCAGAGCAATATGTTCTCGATTGCGTGACAACAGCTCTATTTTCACAGCAGAAGCAAACACTATATTAACAGCCTTAAAGTATAGTAATAAACATCCTAAATACAAGCAATACATAATCGTTTTCGAGTCTCTTTCTTGTCTTCAGGATATTAAAAATCTTTCTTGTGAACATCCACTTTTAATGGAAATTCTTGAATTATATAATGATCTTGCTACTGGCCAACTCGACATCGTCTTTTGTTACTTACCCAGCAATGTTGGGAACACAGTGGCCGATCTTGCTGCTAAGGTAGCACTCAACAATCTGTGACATCACTTCTTATTCCATAATCTGATTACAAAGCTAGCATTAGAACCTACATCCGTGATCTGATGCAGGAGAAGTGGGACAACCAAGTAGGTGTAAATATCAATAGATTTCATGATATAATACCCTACATTGGTTACACCTACTTGGAGTGTCAGTCCAGATTTGAGGAGATCATTATACAACGATGTCGCATTGGTCATTCAAGATAGACACACGAATATCTATTGAAAGGCGAAGATCCTCCGTTTTGCATCCCTTGTGGTAACAGAATAGTGTCCTGCTTGACTGTATTGATTTTTCCATCACAAGGGATAAGTATTTCAATGTAAAAAACTGTCAAGGATAGTTTTAGTACTGTTAATTTTCAATGAATCATTGAATCTTTAAAATAAATAGAATTATTCGATAAATTTTGATGAATGGTTTGTGTATTTCATTATTGGTAGTTAAGATTAGTAACTGGGATTGTTAGTGGCTGTATCCTCAAAGGGGGTTGAAGTATTGTAAAGTTATGAGAGGGTACGTAAGTCCAAATACATTCATGGTAAATTTAAACCTACCACTAATTTTAATCCTATTTTATAGGTTATATCAATGTATGGCTAGATCTATCTAAATTGTTAACAGCTGAAGGGATGATGTAAATCCAGGTAGGGTCCATGCAGGTAGCAAAGGTACTGTAAGTCCCCATGTTCCCTGGTATGGTGATCTACCTTCAGTTGTTGGCAATGTATAACCTGTTTTATATGGTATTGTCATCTATAATTAAAATGGTTTTGTGTTAATTACTAGTTTTTAATTGAAATATGTGATAAACTAGTTGTTTTGCTGTCCTTTGCTGACAGGTTTTATACAGGCTGGTTGCGTTTGCACAAATGTTGTTGTCGGGGGGAGTTGGTTTGTTTTTTTTACTTGCATGCTACTTTCTTTTTTAATCTGAGTAGACATTTCGGTGTTTTTTTTCAAACATAATTTTGTAAAATGTATTCTCCTACAATAGTATTTGTAAAAACCTGTAACACTATACACGTCATGCTTCTCGACTCATTAACCATCAATTTACTTTCTATTCTTAGCTTTTGTAACACATATCAATACAGTGAAGCAGGACATGCTTGACCATGATTCTTTTATCACAATGGATACAAAATGGAGGATCTTCGCCATATAACAAATACTCACGAGTATAGCCTGTATGGCCAATGCGACATCGTCACATAATGATCTCCTCAAATCTGGACTGACAGCCCAAGGAGGTGCATCCGACTAGGGTTTTATTGCATGCACTCTATTGATAACTTGGTGTCCCACTTCTTCTGCATGAGTGAGTAAGCGAGTTATAATTAATAGTCGTATCGGTAATATATCAGCCATATCGTGACTGAGACAGGAAAACACGTCAACACTAGCTAATATCAGAGTATATAAACTGTCAACGAGGGGCAGTAAAATCACAAGAAAATCTCAGATTTAGATATATAACTAGTATGTAAATCTAAAACAATTTTAACTATAGAAGACGATGCATTACAAAAAACAAACAAACACACAATAAAATAAAACAGGCTACAGGTCGCCAACAACTGAAGGTTGAGCACCATTCTAGGGACCATGGGGACTTACAGTGCCTTTCCCACTTCTATGTACATGTATTTATATCACCCCTTCAGCCGCTGGCGGCTGTAGGCACATTTAGGCATAATTTCAAATAACAGAAATATTACGTTATGAACATCAGGCAAGTTTAACTTTCCTTTGAATGTTTCGGGACATACGTACCCACCCAGGAGGACAATAGTTGTACGATACTTTAACCTTCTTTGGGGACACAGGCACTAAATATATAACAATCTCAGTTACTAATTTCAATTTCAAATAATAAAGAAATACATCTGTCTACAATACATAACAATCAAAATGTTCAGTTAGTTCAGTTATTTCTTCTTAAAAAATGATAATTAAATGGTAATTTACATTACTAAAGATATTTTTTACTGTTTTTGCACTGAAATATTTACCCCTTAATCGATGCAGCCAATCAGTTTGTATTTGCACTTTATGAAACACATGATATAGAAACATTTTTTTCTAGATGTTGCTAGCTAGAATAGGTTAATAGAGATATAAATGTATGAATATTATGATGTACAAAGTCATATTTCTCAGTATACTCATGTCTCAAAGTGTGGTAGGCTTTACAGGCACAATGATATTCATCGCCAATTAGATTCAAATCACACATTTTTCATATTCTATCTTATCTCTGTATTCAAATATAGCTACCTGTTTCTACTAACAAATCATGGGATGAGCAACGGAAGTTTGTAAGCGTTATTCTATATTTCAGAGCATTCAAAGATGGTAAATAGGTCCCATTGTATATAGACTGTTTAAACATTCTGTAATAAAACATATATTCGATACACATAATTGGTCAAGCCAATTCTGGAGACATATATCTTTGTACCTTTGTTTAATGGAAATGAGAAAATCTGGATGCGAGTCTATGCACTGTTCTGGCCATATATAACCGAAACCAGTTGAAAATAGTAAATGCTCAACATCTGTGACCCAATTACGTTTTCCATTTCTATCGTACAAATTGCTTGACCATGATTCTGTCATCACAAGGGATGATAAAATGGAGGATCCTTACCTGTTAGCAAATACTCATGTGTATATCGTGTATGGCCAATACGACGTAAAATGACCTCCTCAAATCTGGACTGACAACTCATGCAGGTATAACTAATATCAGGTTATATTTCATGTAATTTATTAATACCTACGTTGGTGTGCCACTTATGGTATAAGAAGTGGTGTCACCATCGTGTTACCATTGATTCCAACAAAAGACGATGTCGTATTGGCCAGTTGCAAGGTCATTATATAATTCAACAATGTCATTTAAAAGTGGATGTTTACTAGAGAGATTTTTGATAGCCTTAGGGCATGATAGGGAGTCTGAGAACATTACGTATTGTTTATGTTTAGGGTGTCTTATATATATTATTATGGCGTTTGCTTCTGCTGTAAAAATAGAGCTGTTATCCGGTGTTCTAGAAGATTTTGTTCAGGATCCAATGACAGTGGCAGAGGCCACTGCGCCACCATTCTTTCATCCATCTGTTAATAAGGATTTGTAGGCATTATATTTACTTTATAATTGGTTAAATTGTTATCTGATTTTTTTATAAGTTGTAAGTTTTAGCTCTGCTCGTGGCCTCACCAATTACCGAGGAGGAGGAGGAAACAAGATGGATGCTTAATGCCAGCAGCAGACGGGAAAGGTTTCACCTGTTGTCCAAAAGACGGAATACGTCAAGATAATACAGACCCTCTGGAGCGGATTAGCGATCTATATAAGTGTAGGAGGGTAGTTTGGTACCCTTCCCACTTAGAATTTGAAACGACTTTTAACTGATTAAGTGCCTTCAGTCATTTAGCTTTAAGGGATTTGATATGTGGCAGAAAAGTTAAACGTGAGTCGAAAATAAGATCCGAGAACTTGGCCTCCTTTACAACCTTTGGGTGCCGTTTAAAACTAATTATGGTTATTCATGCGGTTCATATTTTCTGCAAAAATGTATACAATTAGTTTTTGTTTGAGAAAATTTAGACCCGTTTGCAAGTGACCATTTTAACTTTTTTATGGAGACAGGCTTCTCACTGCCTCTCTAGCACCCGTGAAGAGCAACCTCCTCGTGGTGGGTGCTGGATAGCGCTAATACATCTTCCCCCGTACAGACCCGGGGTAGAATAGCCCATAACAACCCATTGCTGGTCTTGAAAGGTGACCAAATTGGGCAAGCCCTTGGCCTTTGCTGCCATGTGTCGGCTGAGGAAAGGAATCTGGTGGTTGAGGATGACAGATGGCTTGTTTAATGTAGCTATATAGATACTATATGTGTTGTGGATGGGAGCGTGTGTATGCATCTGCCATTTTGTTTTGATGACGTCTTCACACAAGTGTGTGACCTTTTTGTGACCTAATCGATTTTGACAGAGGGTTTTCAACCCTTAAGCCCCACCTCCATTTGGAATGAGTCTCCTTTCAGCCTGTGTGTGTGTGTGTGTGTGTGTGTGTGTGTGTGTGTGTGTGTGTGTGTGTGTGTGTGTGTGTGTGTGTGTGTGTGTGTGTGTGTGTGTGTGTGTGTGTGTGTGTGTGTGTGTGTGACCTTTAGGTTGACATTAGTGGTTTGTGATAATTATTCAATTATATTATGAGTGGGATGAGTTTGATTTGGTGACTCGAGTGTTGGATTCACATAGCAAAATCTTGCATTGAATTATATAGAATTAATATCACATTATGAATATTAGGTGCATTCAGATGCTATTTATTAGGTCAAAAGCCAGTCTTGTTCGAAATATCAGAGCGCAGTTTGTCAAATCAAAGCGCGACGTATCACCAGGTAGTTTAAAATAGATTTCTTTCTTAAGGACTCGCGAATTGGTATAAGGAACAACTCAGAAGTTCTGAGTATTTATTTCCATATCTGTGAACAATAAACGATTGTTGCTGTTAGCAAATAAAATCCATGCGCTATGTGGGCCCGTATATGATTATTGCGTGCGTTAGTGGGGCGCAGCCTATATACAGGGTGCAATGCACTAATGAAGAATCACTTGCTCGCTGAGTCCAATGTCAAAACCAAGACGAAAATGCAATACACTATTTATTCACAAAACAAATCAAAGACAATTTTTACAACAATGAAACAGTCATCAGCCCTGAAGAAACCAGTCGGCACGGAGCTAAATGTCCGAATACCGCATTAATAGGAAAACATCCCCATTCCATAAATCATACAGAGCTGTTTGATCGAGGGACAGCAGGGATATATGTACCACTAGCCTACACCCTCATCCTCTACATCATACAGAGCTGTTTGATCGAGGGACAGCAGGGATACCTGTACCATTAGTCTACACCCCCATCCCCTACATCATACAGAGCTGTTCGATAGAGGGACAGCAGGGATACCTGTACCATTAATCTACACCCCCATCCTCTACATCATACAGAGCTGTTTGATCGAGGGACAGCAGGGATGTCTGTACCATTAGTCTACACCCCCATCCTCTACATCATACAGAGCTGTTTGATAGAGGGACAGCAGGGATATCTGTTCCATAAGTCTACACCCCCAATCTCTACATCATACAGAGCTCTTTGATCGAGGGACAGCAGGGATATCTGTTCCATAAGTCTACACCCCCAATCTCTACATCATACAGAGCTGTTTGATCGAGGGACAGCAGGGATACCTGTACCACTAGTCTACACCCCCATCCCCTACATCATACAGAGCTGTTTGATCGAGGGACACCAGGGATACCTGTACCATTAGTCTACACCCCCATCCCCTACATCATACAGAGCTGTTTGATCGAGGGACAGCAGGGATACCTGTACCATTAGTCTACACTCCCATCATCTACATCATACAGAGCTGTTTGATCGAGGGACAGCAGGCATACCTGTACCATTAGTCTACACCCCCATCCCGTACATCATACAGAGCTGTTTGATCGAGGGACAGCAGGGATACCTGTACCATTAGTCTACACCCCAATCCCCTACATCATACAGAGCTGTTGGATCGAGGGACAGCAGGGATATCTGTACCATTAGTCTACACCCCCATCCTCTACATCATACAGAGCTGTTTGATCGAGGGACAGCAGGGATACCTGTACCATTAGTCTACACCCCCATCCTCTACATCATACAGAGCTGTTTGATCGAGGGACAGCAGGGATATCTGTACCATTAGTCTACACCCCAATCCCATACATCATACAGAGCTGTTTGATCGAGGGACAGCAGGGATATCTGTACCATTAGTCTACACCCCCATCCCCTACATCATACAGAGCTGTTTGATGGAGGGACAGCAGGGATATCTGTACCATTAGTCTACACCCCCATCCTCTACATCATACAGAGCTGTTTGATCGAGGGACAGCAGGGATACCTGTACCATTAGTCTACACCCCCATCCTCTACATCATACAGAGCTGTTTGATCGAGGGACAGCAGGGATATCTGTACCATTAGTCTACACCCCCATCCCCTACATCATACAGAGCTGTTTGATCGAGGGACACCAGGGATACCTGTACCATTAGTCTACACCCCCATCCCGTACATCGTACAGAGCTGTTTGATCGAGGGACAGCAAGGATATCTGTACCATTAGTCTACACCCCAATCCCATACATCATACAGAGCTGTTTGATCGAGGGACAGCAGGGATATCTGTACCATTAGTCTACACCCCCATCCCCTACATCATACAGAGCTGTTTGATCGAGGGACACCAGGGATACCTGTACCATTAGTCTACACCCCCATCCCCTACATCATACAGAGCTGTTTGATGGAGGGACAGCAGGGATATCTGTACCATTAGTCTACACCCCCATCCCCTACATCATACAGAGCTGTTTGATGGAGGGACAGCAGGGATACCTGTACCATTAGTCTACACCCCCATCCCGTACATCATACAGAGCTGTTTGATCGAGGGACAGCAGGGATACCTGTACCATTAGTCTACACACCCATCCCATACATCATACAGAGCTGTTTGATCGAGGGACAGCAAGGATACCTGTACCATTAGTCTGCACCCCTTTCCCTACATCATACAGAGCTGTTTGATCGAGGGACAGCAAGGATACCTGTACCATTAGTCTACACCCCCGTCCTCTACATCATACAGAGCTGTTTGATCGAGGGACAGCAGGGATACCTGTACCATTAGTCTACACCCCCATCCAATACATCATACAGAGCTGTTTGATCGAGGGACAGCAGGGATATCTGTATCATTAGTCTACACCCCCATCATCTACATCATACAGAGCTGTTTGATCGAGGGACAGCAGGGATATCTGTATCATTAGTCTACACCCCCATCATCTACATCATACAGAGCTGTTTGATCGAGGGACAGCAGGGATACCTGTACCATTAGTCTACACCCCAATCCTCTACATCATACAGAGCTGTTTGATCGAGGGACAGCAGGGATATCTGTACCATTAGTCTACACCCCAATCCCATACATCATACAGAGCTGTTTGATCGAGGGACAGCAAGGATACCTGTACCATTAGTCTACACCCCCATCCCATACATCATACAGAGCTGTTTGATCGAGGGACAGCAGGGATATCTGTATCATTAGTCTACACCCCCATCATCTACATCATACAGAGCTGTTTGATCGAGGGACAGCAGGGATACCTGTACCATTAGTCTACACCCCAATCCCATACATCATACAGAGCTGTTTGATCGAGGGACAGCAGGGATATCTGTACCATTAGTCTACACCCCCATCATCTACATCATACAGAGCTGTTTGATCGAGGGACAGCAGGGATACCTGTACCATTAGTCTACACCCCCATCCCATACATCATACAGAGCTGTTTGATCGAGGAACAGCAGGGATACCTGTACCATTAGTCTACACCCCCATCCCATACATCATACAGAGCTGTTTGATCGAGGGACACCAGGGATATCTGTACCATTAGCCTACACCCCCATCCCATACATCATACAGAGCTGTTTGATCGAGGGACAGCAGGGATATATGTACCATTAGTCAAAACTACCAACCCCGTTTCGATGAGAACATTACCGCAGTACAATCATTCATTGCTTGTGGTAAGAAGCGACTACCGGTTCCGGTTGGTATCGCTGACACATGTCATTGTATCTCATTATTTTTGCGTAAATCGATGTTCATGACGTTGATCACTGAGTTGTCTGGTCCAGACAGTTCGAATGTTCTCGATTGCTGCGTTATACAAACAAACAAAGCTTCAAGTGACACGTTCTCGCTCACAGCGGTGTCTGCACTTTCCAGGTCACTTGATGCATTCTACTTATGTACCGACCTCAACTCCTCATAGCCAGAACAGCTGGCAGAGGCAGGTTGTCCCTCACAGCCAGAACAGCTGGCAGAGGCAGGTTGTCCCTCACAGGTGAGCCCGTCGTACATCTTTGCTTCATCAACGACATCGTACTGAGGAGCATCTCCTGCCTCTGGGGACACGTCCATGTCCTGGGTAGGAGTGACGTACAGCTGGAACCTGCAAATGTTTGATAGACGTTTTGTAGAAATTCACGGATGACATATCGACGCACATACGTTGTTATCTCCCTTTGTATTCTTTGAAAGCTGCGATCTATAAGCTTGTTTAGACTACATATGTGATCAGGAATGAATGTTTATTGGTTATCACTGAAGATTAAATAACGGGAACATGTAGAGATGGATAGTTTACCATCTTGCGTTAACGACAAGTTGTGTTAAGTTGTGTCCAAACGAGAATGAGATTATAATTATGTGTATGTGTATAATTAAGCGTGATACCACAGCGTCACGATACTCGGTGAGTCGAAACATCATTTGGCATTTATGTCGACGTTTCAGCAGAAGAATCAACTTACAAACCGACCTCCTTGTGAACACCCGCCACTAACGACCCCACATAAATTTGATTGATTATAACTACAGCCTGTATCATTTCTGGCAACAGAAGTGTATCTGCGAGATTAGGGAACAGTTTGACGACTTTTTGCTTCTATGGCATCTGTGCAAGACGCCCAAATGTTCAGGAGGCTGAATGGGATCTAGGCTAAAGCAAGGCCGTCAATTATTATGATTGAGAGGAACTTGAATGCTGTCAGGTACCGAGACGAGATTTTGTATATGGCAGCTTTATTGTTCTTTACAACAGAACGTCCTGGAGTGACGTTTCACAACTTGAAAGGCTTGAAAATCACGAACCGATATAAAACCTTTAATATGACGTAGTTGTAGAAGCGGCCATGGTGTGTCCATCACGTCAGTCACGAACCTGCCAAAAACATTTTGTGTGCTGTAGTTGTGACTCGTGGTCGACTGGATCTGGATAGGTCACGTGTTGACCCCTGCATCAGATAAGGGTTACTTAGTCTTGTGATGGTGTTTTGGGATGTGTGGAAACATCTGACCCCTCCATCTGATAAGGATTCCATAGTATTGTGATGGTGTTTGCCGACACGTGGAAACATCTGACCCCTGCATCTGGTAAGGATTCCATAGTATTGTGATGGTGTTTGGCGATACGTGGAAACATCTGACCACGGCCGAAGCCATGTAACCTGTGTCCATTGTAACCTGTGTCCATTGTAACCTGTCTCCAGTGTAGCCTGTCTCCAGTCCGCAGATGGCGTCATTGTCTTCAGTTTCAGTCGATGTTTCACTTCTCAATTGCGATACAGTTGTGAGTACAGATAAAACAATTTGTTTCCATAGTCCAACAATTCATGTTGCACATTCAACTAGTGTTACGTATTTAACGATTTGTGAAGATCAGGGTTAGAATTCAGTAAACTCTGCTTCTCGTTGGTGGCGACGTAAGAGGCGACTAACGGGATCAGAAGGTCAGACTCGCTGACTTGGTTGACAGATGCCATCGTATGCTAATTGCGTAGATCGATGCTCATGCTGTTGATCACTGGGTTGTCTGATCCAGACGCAATTATTTACATACAGCGGTAATATTGCTGAATGCGGCGTACAACTACACTCACTCACTCACTCAATCTCGCACGTTTCTTCGTTTTAGCGTGTCAATGGTTTCAGGACATACTATATTTTACCCTCACAAATCACTCCCGGTGTATGTAGACGTGTGACATTCATATTCCTTATTCATTTTGTATGAAAATCAGCAAAACTCCGTCAAGCAAGTCCAATGTGTCTACTTGTGTCATGCATTATCAAACCTATGGTCCATTCAAGTTGTGTGTTGCAATAATGACAATAGATAAGGAAATAGTAACATCACTTCAGCATGAAACAAAACCGGAATATTATGATCTTCCGTGTACTGCAGCAGTCAGCCCAGCGACATCAGGTTTGTTTGTCAGCTGTTTGAGCTGGGCCATGTAAACCAGAGGTTAATACCACGAACTACATACCAACCCGTCAATACAAACAGTGACACATTCATCCACTGAACACTGACCACCCCAGTGAGGTGAGAATTGGGTTTAACGTCGTGCTTGAGAATATTTCGCTCATATGACGACGTCCATGCGTGTGGATGTGTGTGTGCAGCTGCTTGTACTAGCCCAGACTGAAGCTGGTTTTATAGTTCAGCCCAATGAGATACCATGCCGCAGTGAAGCATGAATACCCCACTCAGACACATTATACTGACTCCGAGCCGAACAGTCCTTGCTGTACCCATTAATGCCGAGCGACAGGCAGGGACCATATTTTAACGTCTTTTGGTATGACGCGGTCGGGGATCGAACCCGCTACCTTCCGCTCTCCGGGGGTACGCTCTAACCACTACACCACGAAGGCTTGCCACCCAGTAATCAAACAGTGAACTCTTCTAACAAGCACGTGGTACTGTCAATCACAGAATATCGTGGTTCGTTCATTCCCTCACTCACCTTTCTGATCTCAAACGTTGACAGTAACTGCAGCACGCAACCAGAGTGGCCATTACCATGACAAGGAGAGAGGCTACAGCTAGTCCTGTAGATAGTGCTGTAGCCAGTTCCACGTTGTTACCTACCAAACAACGGGGTTAACGAGTTAATACAATAAAGGAGAGAGACTGTAGCTAGTCCTGTAGATAGTGCTGTAGCCGGTTCCACGTTGTTACCTACCAAACAACGGGGTTAACGAGTTAATACAATAAAGGAGAGAGGCTGTAGCTATTCCTGTAGATAGTGATGTAGCCCGTTCCACGTTGATACCTACCAAACAACGGGGTTAACGAGTTAATACAATAAAGGAGAGAGGCTACAGCTAGTCCCGTAGATAGTGCTATAGCCATGTTGATACCTACCACACAACGGGGTTAAGTTGTTAAAACAAGAAAGGAAACAGGCTACAGCTAGTCCTGTTAATGCATGAGCAGTAGCTACCAGTGTCCCTGCCATTCTCAAGGTTGTACGAGTGAAGCACACCCATGAATAATACTCACCTGGTATGTCATCACATGTACCTGTCGACCTGTTGCATGACGTACATCCACTTGAACATTTCTTACAGCCAGTCCCGTAGTAGGAGTCTACACATCCAGACACACAGGATGACCCCACCTGACAATATCCTCCATCACAACCACCTGGACATGCTGTACAGCTACCTCCTGGACTGTCACATGGTATGTTGCACCCAATACCTTGATATCCTGGCACACAACCCTCGTTGCACCGTCCACTACCGTCGGCAGACAGATTACACGGGTTACCTTTACAATGACCATCGCACACAGAGAAACATTTTAGATCATAGTACCCCATTTCACACTCAGTGAGGCAATGTCCCGTATTGACGTCACAGTCTGAACAGTGCTGGTTGTCCAAACATGGACCAGCTGAAATGAAGGCTATAGGTATTGATAAGATGATAACTGAATAGGATTTAATATGTGTAAATAGCGTTGATAGTTCTAAGGCTGATCCTTTCTAAAAGTAATTGTAGTGGTCGATATGGTTTTGAGCAACACAACTGACAAACTCTAAGTTATTGAAATAAGGCCTACTATATCTTACAACTATGTAACGAGACCAGATGAGCAATATTAACGATAGACGTTTTACCTTCGGTATAAAGTACCACGTATGTTATCCATATGCAAAGCTTCTTCAGGTCGGCCATTCCGTTGACCTAAACTGACCTGAAAGAACAATTTGTGACAAGGAACATGACCCATCAGCGCAAACAAGGAAACAACAACCATTGAATGTAAAACATAAACATCCAAGAGATTTGCAGAAAACATATACGTCCAGGAGATATGCTGAAAAAATAAACCTCCAAGAGATATGCTGAAAACACAAACCTCCAAGAGATTGCTGAAAACATAAACCTCCAAGAGATATGTAGAAAACATAAACCTCCAAGAGATTTGTTGAAAACATAAACCTCCAAGAGATTGCTGAAAACACAAACCTCCAAGAGATTGCTGAAAACATAAACCTCCAAGAGATATGTAGAAAACATAAACCTCCAAGAGATTTGTTGAAAACATAAACCTCCAAGAGATTGCTGAAAACATAAACCTCCAAGAGATATGCTGAAAACATTAACCTCCAAGAGATACGCTCAAAACATAAACCTCCAAGAGATTTGTTGAATACATTAACCTCCAAGAGATATGCAGAAACACTAACCTTCAAGAGATATGCTCAAAACATAAACCTCCAAGAGATTTGTTGAAAACATAAACCTCCAAGAGATTTGTTGAATACATTAACCTCCAAGAGATTTGCTGAAAACATAAACCTCCAAGAGATTTGTGGAATACATTAACCTCCCAGAGATATTGTGAAAACATAAACCTCCAAGAGATATGTAGAAAACATAAACCTCCAAGAGATTTGTTGAAAACATTAACCTCCAAGAGATATGCTGAAAACATAAACGTCCAAGAGTTAAGCTGAAAACATTACGTCCAACGTCCAAGAGATATGCTGAAAACATTAACCTCCAAGAGGTATGCTGAAAACATTAACATCTAAGAGATATGCTGAAAACATAAACCTCCAAGAGATATGCTGAAAACATTACGTCCAACGTCCAAGAGACATGCTGAAAACATTACGTCCAACGTACAACTTCCAACGTCCAAGAGATATGCAGAAAACATTAACGTCCAAGAGATATGCTGAAAACATTATCCTCCAAGAGATATGCAGAAAAAAACAGAAATGCCCTTCGAAAAATGTATCTATTTGAGGAATCGAACCCGGGCACGAGGAGCGAACGCCTTAACGGCTGGGCTACCCTACCGCCCTAAAATGGGATGAAACAAGCTCAGATAGAAGTATGTATGTTATGTAGTTTCCATTTTAAATTGTGGCATGATATATCTGTGACTAAGGAATGCATTCGGCACAATATAGCACACACACTCACGATCACACGCACACACATACTTGTGTGTACATACTCACTACATATGAGCAACAATGTTGAACACAACGGTAAACCTCAATCACCCTACTACAACGTCACACCATACTTACCTAGTTGTTGGACTTATTTGACCTACCTGTATATAAAACTGACCATCTGCAGGTGAACCTGGAGAAATCTGTGTCTCTGTTGTGTCGCAGGCAACTTTTGTTATACAAAAATAGCGTCTGGAGTTGTAAGTATTATTTCCCCCTCTCAGGGATGATGAACATGTAATCACTGTCAAGGAAATATTTCCCAGATTAAATGTTTCAAATATTGAGAGAGAGTATGTGTGCATATGGGTAAGGAATGCGTTACTCGCAAGATTTATTCTTGGAGACTTTAGAAAGCAGTTTTGTATACAATGGAACAAGGTACACATTGGCTTTAAAGAATGTCCGAACGGAAAGCTATGCCTGTTTCCTGTAAAGTAGTGTGCATCATATGTTTGTGGGAATACCGCCATCACGTTGACACATTGGTCAGACCAACATTTGTCACAGCTGATTCCGAGTTAAAGACAACTCCAGAGCGACGTGAATTAATTATGGGCAGCATTTGAGTGAATGCACTCGAGGAATCGTGATGAAGACATCTGATGATATGAAACCTTGGGGTTGCTGGTTACAATGAACGGGTGTACATACTTCCAGTGTGTTGTGAGCGGTTAAATATACGAAGCACAAAATACATGGATTGACATTTAACTTCCCCTCTACAGCATGCCACTTAAAGCGGGTTTAAACATAATTTACAAAAAACAATACAACAGCTTCAAGATGACAAAACACGTTTAATAATTGAACCAGACAGTACAAGGATGAAGCAGGTTATGTTAACACACGGAAACTGGCGGAGGTGGAAACAAGGAAATATGAAACTCCTTCCAGTTTCCAAGCAGCGATAAAAACAAAGCGTCATAGACTGAAGCTGGCAACAGACTTGCAAGTAACCAATTTGCGTCAGGCATATCACAGCTTAAAGCACCCGTTGCTGACAATTCCAGTGAAGATCCGGGTTATAATTCAGTAACCAATGCTTGCCAACCTCGCCGACTTGATTAACACATGTCATTAAATGCAACCGATCGATGGTCATGATGTTGATCACTGGATTGTCTGGTCCAGATTCGATTATTTACAGTCCACCGCCAAACAGTTTAAATGGTGCTGAGTGCTTCGTTAAAAATAAACTTGATATAATGTACGGCTTGTAATGTACACTAATGCTCCTGTAAGACACGGCTGCATTTTGATAATATTATGGGCAATAATTACCGCAAATTGCTAGAAGTCTTTTGAAACTAAACTATGTTTCACGTCTCGCTCAAGATAGTTTCAAAGAAACAAAAGTAATTATTTACTCTCTATCAGCAAGGCAAGTCCAGTGGATTAATCCGGCGGCAGGCAAACACAACATCAATGTGAGTACATAGGCACCAGATCAAACTATGAGTCTGCAATCAGACATTTTCGAAATACTCAACTTCTAAGCATGTGATAACTTTGAGTATATATTATCAATAATAGCAGGTAATTGCCGCTCGCCTCCATCTGCAACGTCATAAACATCATCATCTACAACAGCAGCTTCACCTCCATCCCGGTAGTTCCGACCAGATGATTCATAAGCCATGACTGTGTCCGTCCTTGGAATGTCAGTATACCCTTCCAGCTCATCAACAGAGGCGTCGTCCATCTCGGCAACGTTGTTCCTCACATCAGCTTCCGTGTGGGTGACGCTGTGAAATGAGAACGATGTAATATGTTGCCATCAACAGCGTACCAACATTTAATGAAATATGCCAACCATTTTCTCTATTTGTCCTTCATTTCTATATTTTCAATGTTTATATTTTAATTATTTCTTCTGAATATTTCTGCATTTGTAGTAAGAGTGATTAGCTACACAACGTCATAACACATTCGGTGTGTCTAAACAAACCCTGACCAATTACAAAATATATTGAAACTATCTGGAGCAACACAAGCATGTTTGCCACAATACAGTATATGTCATGTTATGTACAACCACAACTTTAGACGCCTGGCGATCGATCTACCTTGGTCGTCCTGTCTTAGATTATAACAGTACTCGATACATGGTATTTACTTTGAATGTTCAGCTGGGCTAAACACTCTCGTTTGGAAGAATTACGTTAATCCTTAAATTCAGTTTCAAGGTCAGAAGGAGTGAGTGAGTGAGTTTGATTTAACGCGCGTGGAACATCATTCCGTTTATTTCATGGTACGTCAGCGTCATGGTGGAGGAGATTCCAGAGTGATGAAGGCCCTACACTTCGGGAAATTGTATCATCATCTATGTTTCAGCTCTGCCACATAGACCTAGACATACATATATGCTGGTGTTGTAATCAAGTTTCTCAAACTACGACCAAGATTTCTAGCCGTCGGCGTTTACACTTATGAACAACCACACTGGTTCCCGTCTTAAGTCCGGCATGGCGTGGTCCACACTGACACCCGTCAAGTGTCCAGCATGGCGTGGTCCACACTGACACCCGTCAAGTGTCTAGCATGGCGTGGTCTACACTGACACCCGTCAAGTGTCCAGCATGGCGTGGTCCACACTGACACCCGTCAAGTGTCCAGTATGGCGTGGTCCACACTGACACCCGTCAAGTGTCCAGTATGGCGTGGTCCACACTGACACCCGTCAAGTGGCCAGCATGGCGTGGTCCACACTGACACCCGTCAAGGTCCACACTGACCCCGTGGTCCAGACTGACACCCGTCAGTGTCAAGCATGACGTGGTCCACACTGACACCCGTCAAACATGTGTCCAGCATGGCGTGGTCCACACTGACCCTGTGTGTCTTATGCCATGGCGTGGTCCACACTGACATCCGTCAAGTGTCCAGCATGGCGTGGTCCACACTGACCCCGTCAAGTGTCTTATGTCCAGCATGGCGTTGTCCACACCCCGAAACCCGTCTTATGTCCAGCATGGCGTGGTCCACACTGACCCCGTGTAAACCTGTCTTATGTCCAGCATGGCGTGGTCCACACTGACCCCGTGTAAACCCGTCTTATGTCCAGCATGGCGTGGTCCACACTGACCCCCGCCAAGTGTTCAGCATGACGTGGTCCACACTGACCCCCGTCAGTGTCAAGCATGACGTGGTCCACTGACCCCGTGACACCCGTCAAGTGTCCAGCATGGGGTGGTCCACACTGACACCCGTCAAGTGTCCGGCATGGCGTTGTCCACACTGACACCCGTCAAGTGTCCACCATGGGGTGGTCCACACTGGCACCCGTCAAGTGTCCGGCATGGCGTTGTCCACACAGACACCCGTCAAGTGTTCAGCATGGCGTGGTCCACACTGACACCCGTCAAGTGTCCAGCATGGTGTGGTCCACACTGACACCCGTCAAGTGTTCAGCATGGCGTGGTCCACACTGACACCCGTCAAGTGTCAGCATGACGTGGTCCACACTGACACACGTCAAGTGTCAGGCATGGCGTGGTCCACACTGACACCCGTCAAGTTTCCAGCATGGTGTGGTCCACACTGACACCCGTCAAGTGTTCAGCATGGGGTGGTCCACACTGACACCCGTCAGTGTCAAGCATGACGTGGTCCACACTGACACCCGTCAAGTGTCCAGCATGGCGTGGTCCACACTGACACCCGTCAAGTGTTCAGCATGGTGTTGTCAACACTGACAGCCGTCAAGTGTTCAGCATGGCGTGGTCCACACTGACACCCGTCAAGTGTCCAGCATGGCGTGGTCCATATTGACACCCGTCAAGTGTCCAGCATGGGGTGGTCCACACTGACACACGTCAAGTGTTCAGCATGGCGTGATCCACACTGACACCCGTCAAGTGTTCAGCATGGCGTGGTCCACACTGACACCCGTCAAGTGTTCAGCATGGCGTGGTCCACACTGACACCCGTCAGTGTCAAGCGTGACGTGCTCCACACTGACACCCGTCAAACCTTCGTCAGTGTCCAGCATGGGGTGGTCCACACTGACACCCGTCAAGTGTTCAGCATGTCGTGGTCCACACTGACACCCGTCAAGTGTCCAGCATGGGGTGGTCCACACTGACACCCGTCAAGTGTCCGGCATGACGTTGTCCACACTGACACCCGTCAAGTCTCCAGCATGGGGTGGTCCACACTGGCACCCGTCAAGTGTCCGGCATGGCGTTGTCCACACTGACACCCGTCAAGTGTTCAGCATGGCGTGGTCCACACTGACACCCGTCAAGTGTCCAGCATGGTGTGGTCCACACTGACACCCGTCAAGTGTTCAGCATGGCGTGGTCCACACTGACACCCGTCAAGTGTCAGCATGACGTGGTCCACACTGACACACGTCAAGTGTCCAGCATGGCGTGGTCCAGACTGACACCCGTCAAGTTTCCAGCATGGCGTGGTCCACACTGACACCCGTCAAGTGTTCAGCATGGGTGGTCCACACTACACTGACACCCGTCTTATGTCAAGCATGACGTGGTCCACACTGACACCCGTCAAGTGTCCAGCATGGCGTGGTCCACACTGACACCCGTCAAGTGTTCAGCATGGTGTTGTCCACACTGACACCCGTCAAGTGTTCAGCATGGCGTGGTCCACACTGACCCCGTGTACACCCGTCAAGTGTCCAGCATGGCGTGGTCCACATTGACACCCGTCAAGTGTCCAGCATGGGGTGGTCCACACTGACACACGTCAAGTGTTCAGCATGGCGTGGTCCACACTGACACCCGTCAAGTGTTCAGCATGGCGTGGTCCACACTGACACCCATCAAGTGTTCAGCATGGCGTGGTCCACACTGACACCCGTCAGTGTCAAGCATGACGTGGTCCACACTGACACCCGTCAAGTGTCCAGCATGGGGTGGTCCACACTGACACCCGTCAAGTGTTCAGAATGTCGTGGTCCACACTGACACCCGTCAAGTGTCCAGCATGGGGTGGTCCACACTGACACCCGTCAAGTGTCCGGCATGACGTTGTCCACACTGACACCCGTCAAGTGTTCAGCATGGCGTGGTCTACACTGAGACCCGTCAATTGTCCGACATGGCGTGGTCTACACTGACACCCGTCAAGTGTCCAGCATGGCGTGTTCCACACTGACTCACGTCAAGTGGCCAGCATGGCATGGTCCACACTGACACACGTCAAGTGTCCAGCATGGCGTGGTCCACACTGACACCCGTCGAGTGTCCAAGATGGCGTGCTCCACACTGACACCCGTCGTGTGTCCAGCATGGGGTGGTCCACACTGACACACGTCAAGTGTTCAGCATGGCGTGGTCCACACTGACACCCGTCAAGTGTCCAGCATGGCGTG